ACCAACTGCGCCTCAGTTTCACACCAACAATCCAAATCAGATCAGAAAAATATGCTAAAAAAGTAAAGCAACTGAATCTATCAATCGAAAAAAAAAGAGCATCTTTTTTTCTCTGCATAAATTAACCAAACAAATGCACATTCAAATGCAGTCGGTCTGTAGGACAGTGAGTCCGCTTCAGGATGTTCAAGGTACCAGATGGTTGCGGTTTTACTGCAACACGACTGTTCTCGAAATGCCAGACACCATGAAAAACAAAGGGAGTGGTGCTAATTTGACTTGCAAATGCGTCACTGTGATTTCTGACACTTGCTGACACTCATCATATTGTCTTATCCCATAAAGCAGTTGGAGTAGGCGGAAACGTGTGAAGAACTTTCTGTGAAAACTATTCCAGTCTGGTTCTGAGATCATTTATGAACATAACAAATGATGAAGGTTTTTTTTTATTTTTTTAATTTAAAGTTGCATTTGAATTAGGTGCAGCACTGCATTATAATAAACATTGCATATTGTAAATTGTACATATGGAAACCTTTGTATTGTATTGTTTTCTTTTCTGCTTGCTTTAAAAAAAATAAAAAATTACTCTTTTAGTTTTATTTTTGTATATTCTTATATAATTATTTATTTTGTGTTGCTACTGTGATCGAACAATTTCCCTCGTGGATTAATAAAGTTTATCTCAGTCTAAGTACTTTGTACAGTCAGAAGAGTTGACGCTCCAGCAACCAACATTAGACAATGTCTCCCTCATGTGGCTGAAGGAAGGAATGACGGGTCACTGGTGAACAGCGCTATCAGGACACAACCTGTTCAGGCTGTTCAAACCTGGAAGCATGCATAAAAAAAAGGAACATACACCAACTCCGCACACACCGATGCACTCGTTTAATTTATGGACTAAAACCTCTGAAGCGACTCCAGCTGTCGGCCTCAAGGCCAAACTTTGAGCACATACCAGCATTCTGCAGGACTTTTATCATGTTGCCATTACATTACATCAGCCAACACGTCCGAGGGCAAGAGAGCAACGCTGTTTTGCTAAATGTAATTTCCTATAACGTGGTTGTTTTGCATCTTTGGCTTTGCTGCTTGCACAGCGATCAACTGAAAATCAATGAAAGGGTTGGAAAAGGTTCTGGTGGACTGCACAGTAAAGCAAAAGTTATCAGAATAGCATGTTGTAAGCATGTTTTTCCCATGAAGCTCAGACTGTTCCTTTTTACTTCGATCAGCTATAAGGCTCTCAGTTATCATTTAAAAACAATCATAGGTCATGCCACAGTGATTTTATTGCATGAATCAGGCCTCCATTAATACCTACTGGTCCCTGCTGCTACCTTATATACTTTCTGTATTTAATACTGCCTCTTCCATTAGCTCAGCATCTTTTTAACATTCAGCTTGGACCACTGGTCAGCATATCACAGCAACTATTTGTACAAATATTTGCCTCAGTTCCAATTTAAAAAAAAAAAAAAAAGCTGAGCTCATGGGCTCCATAATGATTTTCCACTTTTTTCTTTTCAGGCTGCATTAACTTTTATTCCTGCTTAAAGCAACATTTATTTGATGTATAGATAGGAGACTGTTGCCATCTTGTGGTGAGAGCTGAGCTCGTCCCACTGTGTTAAAAAGGCATAAAAGTGTGGTCACGTTTCAACAAAGTCACGTGTATTCAAAACGTAGACATTTGGGAAGGGCAGACTGTGGAACCTTGCTAACAGTGTGACTGAGTTATGTTGGGCGTAAGGGTGTGGTAGGAAGCCAAAAGTAGACCCTGCAGTGACAAGAATATAGTGTGAGAGGCCAAAAAGGATTCAAGGACCACCAACAAGATCCCCAACGGTTGTGAGCAGTTAAAACACTCCAGCAGGACTCCATGAACACCAACCAAAGTTTCTCCAAGACGGACACACAAAAAGTTCATCTAGTCTTTGCAAAAGTTCTTCTGGACAAAGAAGAACGCTTTTGATCATCAGTTCTGTGGTCGGATGAGATAACAGTGAAGTTGTTTGGACACAAGGACGTACTGAAAGGAAGGTAAAGCAGTCAACCCCAAGAATGCCATCGTTGTGGTCGATGTGCAGCTTTGGGTCTGGTTTTCAGTCAATGAACCAGTCAACCTTGTCAAAGTAAACAGCAGCATGAGAAAAAAGAATTATACCAAGATTCTGGAGAAAAACATCAGGTGGTCTGCAGAAAAAGTTATAGAAGTTCCAAAAAGACAACGGTCTGAAACATACAGCCAAAGCGGTGAAGAAACAGTTAACAGAAAACAATACGAGCATTTTGGAGTCCAGACCTGAACCCCATCAAGAATCTGTGGAAAGAACTTAAGACCAGAGTGAAGGCAGGGAAGCCTTCAACCTCAAAGAGCGGGGCATCGTCAACAAACGGGAGTGGAACAAAACTCTAGTAGAAACATACAGAAAAACTGGACGCAGTTACAGGAACTGAGGCCGTGAAGGCAAATGAAGGTTTTACCATCGATTACTGAGAAATGGGAAGAATCATTTGGGATTTTAGGTTGAAAAAAATAAAAATAAATAAAAGAAAAACAAATATAAAAATAGTTTAATTGTATCCGCATCTCTAACAGAACATCTAGATATTCATTTTAAGCCCAGGCCAACTTTATGATCAAATTGAAATTCCCTTTACTTCCAATGTTCTTCATAAGCCGATGATACTTTCATGCCAGTGTCTATGTACAATAGGACGTTTTGATAGCATATTAGCATTCACACATTAGCAGTGAATACTTTAAAGGTACAAAAAGGCTCACCTTGCTGTTCAGCTACCTTTCAGGTATCAGCAAACATCATCTTCAGTGACCCTGAGCTTCTGCTGAAGCAGATACTATCTCACAGTTGTGGCACTTCTCCTGAGACCTGCACTGAATACATTAGAGAACAAGTTGAACATTCAGTCTAGCATTGAATTAAATAGGAATAATTATTAGGGATAATTTATTGCCTAAAAAAATTCAGTTGTACTTGATGTCTGCTGACAAGGTGAGACTCTCACCTGTTTTACTAATGAATCTGATAATGAATGAATGAATGACCACTTTACCACTTTTCTACCCAAACCTTGAGACAATCAAAATAAATGGAGACATATCCCACTGATTGTGTACAATTTTATTATTGTTATTGTTTTCCCTTGTCAGATAAAAGCAGATAGAGAGGAGCATAATAATCAGAAACGGCGTGCAGCTTTGGGGGTTCCTGTCCAAAGCCGGACGAGAGAACTGTCTGAGGTGAGTATATGTGAACAACACAGGGCAAACCCCGCCGCCATAAATGCTACATAACACTGTCCATATCAACAGTCACAATAACGGCGGCCGTCAGTGTTTCACGACAGTTAGCCTGTAACACATTCATCTTCTGAGGTAAGCTAGAGTTGGCTAGTGTTGTACTGAGCAAATAAACATCTATTACGTACTGTATATGTATAGTGTTGTGACTGTCATAATCTGTTCCTGTAAGCACAGTTTGCTCTGTAGCTCTTCTCTACCTTGGCATAGCTTTGGCATTAGGAGGTAACATGGTAGCACCCTGTCAAGGGCCATTTGAGAACAAGCGTCTTTGTTCATTATATGAACATTTAGGAGGTAACTCCCAAGGCCTTGGGCCGTGGATATAAGGGACTATGTAATGCAAAGTTTAAGTCAGCTATTCATAATTCAAGTGTGACAAATAACAGTTTCTACATACTGCTAATGTAATTTGAAGGAAAGCACCCATAGACGTGTGTATTTTCTGCGTTATGGGTTTATGTACACGTTGAGGCCCAAATGCAGGTATAGTCTGGAAAGCTCCCCTCTTTCAATTCTAGTGAGATCCACTTTGAAGTGCAGTTTTGCAGTCACACAAACTGACATGAGCTTAAGCTTTAGCTTATCCCGACAGGAGAGAAGGTGCCTGTAGCATTTATGCTAACACATCATGACTTTTCATCACATTTGTTTTAGCGTTCTTTCAAACGATTAAAAAAAAAAAAGAAACTATCTGAGTAGACTTTATGTAACTAGTCTAGCTTCACTGGCTGAGGTTTGAGACACTTTGAAATGACGGTAGACTACAAAAATGGCCAAACAGCAGCATTCAGTATAACAAAGAAGACAGATGACAAAGAGATATTATGATATTTCGTCCTAGGCTTGTTTGGCTAATATAAAAAGGTATAAATAACACGTTCTGTTTTGGTTAAACACAGTTAAGATGATGAAAATGAAGCACATGTTAAGACACAAAAGAAACCTGGTGCAATTCTTCACTGTCGTTATCCATGATTTTTGGGATTACCTGAGATTCCAGTTGACCCTCAGGGCGGATTTGATGGCGACAGCACTCGTTGATTGATCGACTGATTTCATCAATCGACTGATTGAGGTTAGAGTCTTACGACCCAGATGGGGTCAAAGACATTCAAGCAAGCAGAGGGCATTTGTTTCACCACAACCTAGATCCTTGATGCCACACTTTATCCCCGCACCCAAACACACCTGACCTGCAGGCTCAGCACATTCATGTCCATTAAACAGCCACCCTTTGAAAAAGCTAAACGAAGGCATGGAGCAAAGAAAGCAGAAAAGGCTTAGCTTAAAATGGGCGAGGTATCCTTTACATAATTCTCCCTCTAAGGAATTTAGGCTTTTTAATACCATCTTGGAATGCACTATATATTGATATATATTTATATATATACTGTATATTGCCGTTAATATAAGCAGGATTACTGTTGATAAATACAGTGGCCTCCTTACCACCTGAGGCACCTCAGCAAGCTTCAGCACCCTCCTCCTTTTTGATTTTTGGGTGTCATAGGCCTGAAAAGCCCTACATGGGTGGAGTGGGAGAAACTTATTGTTTTCCTATTTCATCTGATTAAAATTCAAATATGATGATCCAAACTGTGCCGCCTTTAGTCACTCTTCGTCCACAGTCTCCCTTTTTGAATCCTCGTCTTTCTGTTCCAGGACCTGAGGGCCGGGGCTCGGCAGGGCTGCCACCTCCGTAGTAGCCAATGAGGAGGGATCTTGTTGGTCAACGATTCTCTGGGAAGATGCGTCTTCCTGTGCCAAAGAGAAACAGTACAGTTTTTTATTAGATGCATTATGTTGATATAAAGGGGCCCTTCTTACTCCTATAGCAGCTTAGACTGTTCAGGCCTCAAAGAGCTCCTATCAGTCTTAAGATCCCCACAAGCGGTCGTTGCCTCGGTCAGCTTGTTATGGTCAGTGGAGCGGCTGTCGAAGGTTCACAGACTGTGTCCATGTCCTCCTGCCTGCTGCGACCAGCTAACAGCTGGCTCCAGTTTCCGCTGCTGCACCATTGACTTCCAGCAATTTGTAAAGTGTAGTAAACTCTGGCTGTTACACCGTGTCTACACGGAAGGCGTAGCACGTCAGCAGAGCAGCAGCAGCAGCAGCCGCAGCGTCTATGTTTAGACATAAAGCGATTAGGCACAGCAAAGGACTGCAGGTTACCGCTGTTCTGGGAGTGTTGAGAGTCCAATACACTGTATGTATAGCATAAAATGAATGCCCTAGTGCCATTTATCAGTAAACACAAGTCATAAATCCACCTGAGAAGACAGCCGGTTTGATTAAAATAGAATCATATTTGTTTCCTTAGATGTGCCTGAGGTGGATGATTGATAAACGTGAATGTTCTCTGTGCAGACGCAGCGGTACCTCTGACTTAGCTAAAACACAACATGTACACTGAAGCCGCTGACATTATTGGCAGACGACTGGGAGTGAAACCCTGACCTGAGTATTAACAGAAACATGACTACTTCTGAGTGTGATTGCAGCTAATAGACCCACTTAAAGGTTATCAACACAGACGACTCACTGGAATGCCTAATTCAGAGCTTCCACTCGGATTTTCTGCACGCATCCACTGCTTTGTGACCTGTATTTACGTGTGTCACTGGAGGAATTGCTTAAAACAACCGTAAAATCAATACAGACAGGGTTATTCATATTCACCTTGTGTGTGTGTGTGTGTGTGTGCTAAACACCCCGAGAGCTTTTGACACTTAGAGGGCTCCAGAGGCTCCTGTAGTACTAAATTACTTAAGCTGTTTTTATTGAACGTACACATATAACAACTATCAACTCGACTGCACCGCTGCACGATGCTACCTGCTTTGCTTTACTGACCTCAGCTCCTCCGTCGTCACCATCGTCCTTTCTGTTTGTAATAAACCAGTATTTCAGACTCATTGCAAAATTCTAACCCAGTAAAACTAATAAATGTACACACAAAGAAAAAATCATGTCAGGATGGACTGAGTGCAAATTTTGTGTATTTGTTTCATTCATATGCTGATCACATGGGATGCAAAAAAAAAAGACGTAATGTTTGTGCAAGGTGCTGTAGTATTTCCAGTACTATGGTCTAACCTGAGGAAGTTAATGCAAAATGTTCAGGTATTAAATGTTAACATATAACCTGAAAGAATTAACTAGTAGCTATTTAGCTTGCCGTGGAGCAATCACTTTGCTGTGGTCAGTCAGAAATGTTCACCGTGTTTGATTCCCTGAACCCCATGCAGTGTCTGGGGTTTGTTTTTGCCCCTGTCCTGCACCTCTATGGAAACAGCACAACCATGACTAGAACTATGTCTCGCCATTGGTGCATTTTGCTGTAACTCAGAAAAAAAAAAAGACAAAGGAAGAGTTGCATTTCTTTGATTATCCATCCATCCATTATGTATACACCGCTTAATCCTCACTAGGGTCGTGGGGGGCTGGAGTCTATCCCAGCTGACTTAGGGTGAAGGCAGGTTCACCTGGACAGGTAACCAGTCTATCACAGGGCTACACTTAGAGACAGACAACCAAGCACACTCACATTCACACCTACGGACAATTTAGAATCACCAATTAACCTCAACATGTTTCTGGACTGTGTGGGAGGAAGCTGGAGAACCCGGAGAGAACCCATGCTGCACGGAGAGAACATGGAGACTCCACGCAGAAAGATCCCGGTGCCCCCAGCGGGACGCGAACCGGCGACCTTCTTGCTGCGAGGCAACAGTGCTTTCTTTGATTATTCATTTCTTTAAAAAAGAAAAAAGAAAAAACCTGGAATCAATGTGTACAGCTTTGTTGTAACTGATGGAACACTTGAAAAAACAGTGTCTACATACTATAAATATTTTTTTTACCCACATTTTTATTTGTTTCCATCCTTGTCTCATATCTGCTGTGTATAAACACAGCCTGCACTTCAGCCCAAAAAATCCCAGATTTTTTTCCCCCCATGTGTTATGTGCAGATTATTGGAGTGTTTTCCTTCTTTCAGTATCTGGTTACTGCAAATGGTATAATTTTGGTATATATTTGGCTCTGATTTGATGGTTTTTCCAGACAAAACCGAAGCTCAGACAAGATTAATTCAAGGGGAAGCTGAAAAGTCTACAATTCATGCTGAAAACAATTTTACAGATTTTGTAGAGGTAGCATGCCTTTACAACATGCTCGCATTTTTAGGGTGCCAAGGGTTAACTCTTCCACTAGGAGAGGTCGGTACGTCTATCTTGCCACTGTATGCAGCTTCTCCGAGCTGTACTGGTCAGCTGTTGCTCTGTGTTGGGCTGTTACATAGTGATACCACTGGATGTCTGCATGTGTTTCTGTGTGTGTGCGGTGTAAAATGGGAAAGTTTTGTTGGTGATGTTTTGTACTTCAGTATTAATGACCCATCTACTCACACCTCCATAAAAAAGCATCACTATCAGTCCTTCTATGACAAGTGTCCATCATTATAACATGTATGCGCAGCATCAGCCCAACTGATGCAGCAATAACACTTCATATTTCACTTCTGTTATAAACAGCTTTCAGAGCATCTAAATCCATCTACAGCTGTGACTCTTTGCTACAGACTTT